TTTTTTTCAATTACATTGATTTACAGTTTATTGAGTTGGCAGTATTTTAGGATGCGCTAATTAATACTATTGACTAACCCTGACCAAAGATTTGCTATGCAATATTACTTTTTCAGGGGAGATGTAGTACTATGCAGATCTCCAGTGGATCCTAGAACATTGGTAATGAAACGAGTCACTTTGATTGAAGGTGATGTGTTGGATAAAACTTCAACTTCACCTTTTCTAGCTAAGGTAAGAATGCATTAGAACATAGTCGAGATAAGGATGCTAAAACAGTACTTATATTATATAACCATTATATATGTTGTTATAATTTGGAAAGTAAGAGAGATATAGCTTCAGATATAACTCTTCATTTTTGCAGAAAAAGTACCATAAAATGAATTTTCTCATACATACCAGTGGTTAATGAACCCATTCCGATACTAGTTTGTTTTTTTTTCTTTTATAAGATTAAGATTTTTGTAAAAATTACTGAAGAGATTATTATAAAGGGTGTGCACAATCTCACAATATCCATCGAAATCTTGGGTAACCTATTTTAAAATGGTGGGAAGACAAAGACAACAGAACATGACAAAGATAATGGTGCAGCAGGATCCAGAGAGTGTTTCATGTACATCAACTGTCATATTACTTTTATAAGCACACGTTTAAATATGCATGTCTGACCAGCATATCAAAGTTCAGCAGCTTGACTAACTTCCCTCTGGTATTAACTTCATTTTACTTCTTGTTCAGCTTCCTGGTAACTTAAAAACTATCTGTTTTCTTTGTTTTTACATTTCTGGATCTGGGATTACTTTTGTCTCTTCAGGTGCCCACAGGTCATGTATGGTTAGAGGGGGATAATACAGAGCAGTCTAAAGACTCTAATGACTATGGTCCTGTACCATATGGGCTTCTCCAAGGAAAAGTCTTGTTGAAGGTACAGTAGATGTAGGAGCAATGTGTTTTGTTGCTAGTTACAAGAGCCAAACCATATTTCTGTTTTAGTCAAAATTAGTCATAATCTGTTCAGACATTATGTGTTGTTAAAGTGCAAGTTAAATACCGAAAAGAAGTGGAGCCGAGGTAGTTATAGATATATTTATATGCATATATATATCCCTGGATGATATAGTAATTTTCACATGAAAGTTATTATGGAAGTGAAGATTGTTAAAATTTTCAAGAAACTTAAAAAGTCTTTTATGAATTTTTTGTTGTTGATGTTTTATGTTGTTTGTTGCTTGGTTGTTTTATTTATGTATTCATGTATGTACCAGTTTTGCTGTCTAGCTTTTTGGTAAATTGCATTTGTATTATTTTATTCAGGTATTTCCTATAAACAGGTTTGGACTACTAAAAGACAAATGCCTGGATTGAACAGCCGTGTCCTTGCCCCTGTGTATGGAACTCTCACAAGAGGAGCTGTGCAATCACTTTGGTTTGGATGTGTCAGAAAAAGGAACCAAAGACATAGCACTGTGCTGTGGTCTCAGTTTGGAATTCTCGAAACAAGGACTGCCATCACTTCATTTGTCTGCCAACCATCAAAAGAAATATTGTACTTGGCACCTTAACTGTGATATTCCAATGAAAAGGATTTGAAAAGGCAAGGTTATTGAGTCCTTCAGTAACCTTTTGGATTTAGGGATTTTCTTCAGGCCCTGCACAATTGGCTATTACTGGACTAGCTTGGTGCTACCTGTGTACACATGTTGAGTCAGATGTTATATTTGGTAGTGTGAGTCCATCTTTGATTAAGCCTTTGACTTTTGTATTAATATTTTCAGTACTTGTTTAAATCAGATTCTTAAAACCACTATTGTGTCAGTGACATTCTCAGCTTTGTTATTTTAATTTTTTTTCAGCAGCCTCAAATGATCTCTCTGATTCAATCACCATCTTTGCCAGTGTCAATTTGGTCTTGGAACTCGTTCTTTTGTCTCTTTCTTGATTCAAAATGTATGTCTATCAAACTCAGTTTTCCAATGATCACGGTTTTCAGATTCCATCAATTATACCTACTCATCTTGGTTCATTCAAGTGTATAAAATGTATGTTGTTTTTAACTCTGTGATGTACAGACCAGTAAATGAAATTGCAATGTTGTGTATACCACTGACTTCAAGTCTGTTTACGCTCGACATCATTAAAAGCACTGGAATACAATGATGAAGGTTGTAATTTAGAGAAATGAACAAAATTGGTTTAGAAAATAATTGTTTTGTTAAGGTGGCAATGATTTCTAAAGGGGATACAAGTAAGAGTGCATTCCCATAGATTTAGATCGATCCATCTAGATCGACCTAACTCCCTGGGGGGGTTCATGCTAAATTGCTGTCAGCCGAGCGCGCACGGTAGTTAATTATCCCCTTACAGCTTTTAGTAGGCGGGACAGACATTTAAGCCGGATAAGCTGACAGTAATCTAGTGAGACTCCCCACAGGGATAGATCGATCTAAAATCTGTGGGAATGGGGTCTAAGTGTCACAAACCTGTTCCAAGTGAAACTAGTGGAGTATTCCTATACGACAATGTCCATTTAGAGTATGAAATCCAGTCCAGATGTTCAGTAGACTAAACAATAATTTAAGAAGTGTACAGAATGTTAGTGAGAGTAGAATAAACAGCTAAATATTAAAATGATAAAGCTTTTTAGTACATTGCACAAAATTTAAGGCCAGTTTAAAATCTACTCCATTCAGCTATAAACTTTGAAAAGATACGTTTTAATAAGTTCTTTCATAAAATTGTCACAAGTCCTTGGAAGACCATTCTTATTTGCCTTTAGTTTTCTCACACAGTAGGATTAGAAGTGGCACAGACAGCCAACAATGTCAACATGTAACATCATAAGCTGAATTTTTTATTATATTATAGCTAATGACTTACACAAATAAATGTCTTTTTCAGTTTGCAGTTTTATTTCAATTTTGTATTAAAATAGTACATGTTGATACCTGGACTTGCAATACAAGACAGATATTGAAGCACCAAACACAAACTGAAATTCTTGGAATAATTATGTGTATTTAATTGATATTTTACAACATATTGGTTGAATAAGTACGTGTGAAATATCAGTAAATGTGGGGTTCAATTATAATTTATTATTATGAATTTGAACAAATCGTTTGACAAGTTAGTAATTTTAAGTGGGATAAATTAAAAATTTTATGCATGTTATTCATACAGTACTGAACTTAACGATCTATCGCTCAGTTGGCTAAAAGAAAGGATGTTTAAAATTCTGCCAAGTTCCTTTTTGGCACAAAAATACAAAAGATGAACGAAGTTAATTGAAGCTGACAAACATACATCTTAGAGCCTGCTTCAAACCAGAATTGGTAACAACATCAGTTTTGGCATGAAAAAAACTGTAAAACAATGAAGTTGAAATTAACTAGTTTTTCAGATATCCTGAAAGAACCTGTGATATAGAAAAAATACATGCTTAAAGGCAAAATCATGATAAAAATAAAATGCAAAATAAAAAGGCAATCCTCTTGGGCTTAATTTTAAACTTTACTTGCATTTTGTCCCAGAAATTACTGCAGAGAAGTAAAGTGACTTCCAAGATATTGAGAAAACTAGATAAAAACTGGAGGCAACAGGACAGACAAGTGATCATTATATACACAGGCCCATAACAATGAAATTGTACCCAAAACTGAATGTGCAATATTTTTTAGCAGTTGAATCAAATGCTACACAATATGCACATATTGCATGTAATTTATCGATACCTCTGCATTACACAATTAAAAAAGAATCTCAAAACACCCCTCCATTCTCAAGCTGACCACATCATGAAAGTGCTCTGCTGTAAAAAAATAAATGATAGCAATGCTTTGATCTAAATAACTTAAAAATGAACACTTAAGTGGTTTCAACTTAGTTTGAATTAAGATAACTGCTAATTTACTACATGTATACAGGCTTGTACAATGATAATTAAGGTTAACTTTTAAATATGATCAACTATATATTCTCATTTAATAGGTACAGTTACCAATTATCTACTAGATAAGAATGAACAGCACCAGAGTACATTGTTAATTGTTTAATAGATGTATTTGAAATTAATTATCCTGCAAAATAGCCATCACTAGTGGGCTTGATTTGGTCTTAAAGTGCAATTTAAGTTCACAAATAGTCTTACATGATCTTAAACCATGAGTAAGACTATTGCTGGTCTAACAGCCAATTGAGTTGTCTCCCCTTACACATTCTCCTATTGTGAGCAGAGGTGTCCTCTATTGTGAGGGGAGGTATCCCCCATTGTGAGGGGAGGAAACTGCTTGACCACTTAAGTAGATGTTAGATCATTTTTGATCTTAAAAGCAGATTCAGTCCATTTTAAGACTACTGCTGTAATGTTTAAGATCGTGTTAGATCACTTGTGAACTTAAATTGCACTTTAAGACCAAATCCAGCCCACTAGTGCATTCTGTACACCAAACTATATATGCTTGCTTTGTAAAGGCCCAAGTAATACCATTCAATGCATTAAGCTTAAACAAGTATCTTGCTGCATTTTCTGGTCCATTCTCAATTATAAGAAATATTATTCCTTACATTTGGCTAGAGTACTGGTCATGTATGTTTAACAGATACTAAAACAATTTACTAAGTTTTATACAATATGTTGCCTGTCTTTACATGTAGACGTGCATGCATGTACAACTAAGAGAATGGGCAACAAGATAACAATATATTGTTCCATATTGTTACTGGCACCTTTTACAACAAAAATGCAGAATGTGTAAAAGTGCTGCCTTTATGTGTGTGTGTATGTGTGTGCACGCGCGCACGTGTATTAGAATCACAAGTGCCCCTATACATTTGTATACATGTGCTAACAAGATAGCTCTTTGACTAGATATTGTGGGACTTACGAAATTAACTGTGGTACAATGTATCATCTTTGCTCAATTTTCTTCCTTAACTATTACTGCATGGTGAATTTTTCATCAACACATAACTTTTCCCAACCAGGGGAGGGGGGGGAGCAAGATAAAAAGTCTCATGGCACCCCTAGCCAAATTGTTATGATATCCTTAAACAATTACATACAAAACTATGTACAGTGGAGCCTCCAATGTAACATACATAAGTTTGGAAGGAAAACGCTCATTCAAAATACTTTTATAAAACTGCCTTTTTACATGCAATATCATTAATTACTGGAATATAGCTTGCAATGGGAGTTCATATATAGTCTTTGCAAAAAAAAAAAAAAGAATATAGTGACACTTGGATATATTTGTTGTAGTGAAGAATATAATTTACATAAAACTTAACAAGTGTTTATAAGTAATGTATATTTAACAAGTTAACAAGGAGGGTAAAAGTTATATACCATCACCATGTATATCATGCATTATTTTTCAACCGGTAAGCTTGTATCTCATATCAACAACTGTACGTAATTTCATAGATAATAATAAAATACTTGAACCTTTTGGGGTAACACTAGCTTACAGGTGTATCCAACCCTTCAGCACACGTGGATGTCTACTTGTTTATGAACCTATTTGGCACTTGGCAATTGTACTAATTTACACAATGGTGTACTTTTTCTCAAATTCTGGATAAAATATAATTTGTTCAGAGATTCAACTTGTGTCCAGTAGCATTTGCTTATAGTATAGTTGAAAATTTCATTATTATGAATTTCACACCTTACTACTTTTAGACATGCTAAGTTTTGCCTCAAGTCTTCTTGTTATCGTTGCAAGAAGACCATTGTGAACTTCCTGCCCCTCAGTCTTCTGGCTGTGAATCAGCTTCCGGAAACTCTCGTTGGATTTTAGAAGCTGTGCCATATTTTGGAGGATGTAACCTTCACAGTACTTCACAAGTTCATGAGCAGAAAAAAGCTAAAAGGAAAATAACATTAATTATATAATTTGAAATGATCTATAAAAAAATCTAGAAGTAAATCTACATGTTATACACCATTAGTTTTTTACGCGTATATACAAATAAAACTGATTAACCTGAATCATATTTTGAAAAAAACTAAATTATATAAATGTAAATTAACTAGTTTTGTAAAGACTTAACTGGTACATTACTCTAATTATTATATTTCATTAAAAAATAACTGGATTTTTTCAGTGCTTACTTTGGCATGTTTGTATATGGCACAACAGTTGTCTACACTCAGTCTATGTGACATAAGGACCTCACAGTGTCGCTGAAGACCCTCCAGTAGGAAGAAGTTTGCAGCACCCAACAGCTAAAAAATATAATAAAAAGTCACATATAAGTGTAAGCTCAAACTATGCTTTGTACACTATATCCAAAAAAATAATCTTCATAAATCATTTACTCTTAAAAGCTCACTAACAAATAAAAATTAATGTTCACTATCATGGTAACTTTATAAGTCAATCAATAAGTAAAGGCCAGAAACTGTGACTTGCCTCAAAAACATCCTTGGCATTAACTTTGAGACACCCTACACTGCCACCATTATACAAGTACTGCATCACAAGCTACAATAAAAACAGTCTTTGTAAAATCATTGTGGTTCTTATTTAGTAATATTTTCATCTGAAAATGTAAAAGAGTCAAAACTATACAAAATATACAAATGGTAATTACAAATGGTTTACATACAACCCATACATACAGAACCATTCATAACTGAAAAGCTAAGAAAACTCGTTGCCCTACTAAATTTTGGTATCAACAGATACTTCTCTATAATTTGAAAATAAGAAATAAACTTCCAATCAAATATTAAACCCTTTGCTTGTTTTCAAACTTTTAAAAAGTATCATGCATACCTCAAATATATGATAACTAATATCATTAATCTCAATTATTGCTGGACCACCATCGGCACCCTTTTTGCTGGACATCATCATGGTCTTGAACCTGTTGGATGCGTTAGCCAGAATGATCTTGTGTGCGTAGAATGGTTTGTTGTCTATCATGAACTTTATATCTGACATCTCTGGATTATTGATGTACCTTGAATCTAAAGAGAAATAATTCATGTCATTTCAACTGTATGCTACAGGGGTGAGTTGTTCAGTTTAAATTTTATGATTTTTAATTCTTATGATTGCAGCCTCTATTGATACAAAAAAAACCCCATTATGTTATAAATTAACAGCACAGGATATAAAGTTCACTGCCCGATGCAAGTTGTATGAAAAAGAAAAAGAAAAAACTACTTGCACCAGCAAGAAATAAGAACATTTTCAAGTATCAACATTTTATCTATATAAATCTTCAAAGACTATAAATATCTTACCAATTTGTGTTGGAGTAGCAGGCCTCAGTTCCTGTATAATTGGCAATGGAGCTTTCCCATACATATTTGAGAAGATACGGGCCAGTTCTTCACTTGACACATCATTCTGTCATAAAAGATAATGTACATGTTTATAGCCAACTACAAGATTTTTAAGTGATAAAACTGAAGAACCACAAAGTCAATCTTATCTATACATTTTCATTACAACAATAATATGCTGTTCTCATTTTTCATACTCATTGCTATCATGCACCTACCTTACTACTTCTAAAGATATCAAACATCAAGGGAAGTGTTTCCTCCAGAAATTCTTCTTTGTTTTCTTCATATCGGATGCTGCTGAAATCATTGACCAGACACTGTACAATGGCCTTCCTTCTTGTAGCATGTGCAGTGTAGATACTTTGTGTCCAAGTGTGAATTGTCCATGGGACACCTGAAATAATTAACAAAAATATCTGTGATGTAAAACTGTGCAGTGGATATTTTTACTACTTACAGAATGGTAAATATATAGATTCCTGGTGAATGTAATCAACTAAGTTGGGACATATACAAGACGTTAATAGTTGATCTTATGGCAGGGGTGAGACTTTTGGGCTCCCAAAAAGTTAGAAATCTGCAGAGTCGGAAAAATCTCATTACTGTTGTAAGCACCAACACCACCCAAAAAGTCAGAAATCTGCCCAGTCTCATCCCTGTTATAGGCTTTGTTACAATGGACCTTTGATTAAATTTGTATCACTGATTTTACAATAACATCCTTGTTTCAAATCTGAAAGACTTTTTTACAAATGACTTATATATGTATGCATGCACAACTTGTGAAAATGAGTTAAGCTTGTGATTTATTTGATCTGATTTACAACACAAGAAAACTCAAACCCACTTTCCAATGACAAAATAACTGAAATTTCTATTTACCCATTCCGCGCAGTTCCATAGCAATGTCCAGATAGCCATTTTCAGCTCCATTATACATGGACTCCTGTAATCATACAAATATACATATCTCAATGACATATGAAAATCCAATGAGAAAAATTTTAAGTGCCATTATTTTTGCAGTCATCAATAAGGGCAAAAAGCCATTAGCCTACTGAAACAATACAGGCTTGTTTAGAAATGGTGAGGGGAGCCTTAAAACTGCAGCCCTGTGTTTTAAATGCAGGGCAGTTCTGAAATAACAATGTGAAATGTTTCTACTAAATATTCACAAACACGGAAGTGAGTATGCTATAAGTAGTCAAATACTATGTCCTCAAAATTGGATTATCTCTAACCTGACAGGGCAATCGATCTTTTGGAATAAATGAACTACAGTCAAAGATTCATTAGCCATTTAACTTTGCATGATTGGACTTATCAGAAATAAAAGACATTTGTGCTATGGAAAAACTACACAACCACAATGTACGTCAGTTAATTTGTCCCAATGTTAGAATGGTACGGTTAAAGGTACCCTCCTTTGAGATTACAATAGCTGTCAATATACAGAAATTTATGGTACCATCTCTTTAGGATGCACTGGTAATAAATGTCCTCAAAAATGTCAATGGTGCAAACATAACATGCCATTACATGCTAAAACACCACAACAATGCAAGAGTACGAGTCAAGCACCAACATTACTATTAAAACCACAACAATGTACATTAGAAACCACACAGTAGGAAGCAGTTAGAAGAGATGAATGAAAGAATTATATTGGAAAAACAGTATACAGTGAAAAGATTTTCAAAAATGCTTGGTAGAGACAGGAAATAAGACATTGTTTATCAGATTATTAAGTGATGCTCATGCAGTATTTTGGATGGCCTATCAAACAAAATTGCTTTGTGGTTCTCAGAAGAGCTAGAATCTCATGCCAGTGTCTCATCAATTTACCAACACCCCTTCCCCCATCTTTCCAGAGAGGCACCCTGAATGACATAGAGCAGACATTTTAATGTTAACCTTTAAAAGCCCTGCATCCTGTCTTCTAGAATTATAAAGAACATTTTTTTTCTTTTACACTGGTGATATAGCAAATGGAGTTCTAAATTCTGAGCAGTGTTAACGTTGAATATGAAAAATTGGTGTAGACATGAGTCAAATATGAAAGATAAGTATGAGACTAGTTAGTGTGTTAGCAATATTATCAAGAGAAGCTGAAACAGAAAAGAAAAACTTAGTTAGGGACACAATAAGGCATTAGTACCACTGTAGTGAACACATTAAGACAGCATGCACAGATAAAACTCCATGTCTGTTCACCTGAAAAGAGCGCAGCTGAAATTTGCCTAGTGAAGTATTGGTTTTCTTGTTGCTACAATTGTTGTTTAACTTGACATCCTCGTATATGACTTCATCTATGCACATATATATGTTTTCTGTCATGGGATTGATAAATGTCTGGAAATAAAACAATTTAATCACCTATGATTGGTTTCTAACATCTATAATATATGTTTTGAACAACATAATTGGAAAAAATGCACCAAAATTTGCAACTATTTAACTTCTAAGATGGTTAAAATTGATTAAATAATTGGTTACTTTGAATTTCTTTATCGACAAGTAATTTTTCTGAAAAGTATTTGCACTAAATTTTTTGTCATTTTTAAAAACATATATACCACTTCATTTTGCTTCACAACAACGAAATGCATAATCCTTTCAGAAATGAACTTTTAGCTAGAAGGACTAGTCTATCATTATCATCATCATTACAGCACTTTATTAATACTCAGCTGAGAAGACATACTTTGTTAAATGTAAATGCAAACATCAAAGCTTTAAACCACCTTAACAAGATTCCTACATGGCAGTTGGCGGCAGTTGTGAATTAAAATGACTTTTTGCTACAGTTAATCGTACATTTAACTGCATTTGATACAAAAGAGGGTCACTCAACTAGTTTTTCAATCAAAAATAGACTACTTTGTCTTGAAAGTGCTTTTTAAAACCAATTAATGACTGGCAGGGCAGAAAAAAATCTTTCCTATTCCTATGTTCACAGGTAAAAACATAACAATAATGTCTGAGGGTCGGAGGAGGAAATCCATCAAGTCTTCAACAACACTCATCACTTGTAAAATAGGAAAAAATTACAATCAGATATAAAGATGTTTGCATGACAGTTGCTCATTTTCTTTCCTTACCTGCTCTGAATGGCTTTGAATACGGTCAATGTGTCTATTGTCACAGTGATTAGTGTTTGGCATGGTTCCTTCCGCCAAGATTTCTTCCAAGGACAGAATATCTGATGTTTGTGGCTTGAAAGGAGATGTGAGTAACCGAGATAACACATTCCTGAAATGAAATTAAATGGCCACTACAGTTGAAAGTGTAACAATCTAATAAAAAGGGTCAATTTCAAGGAGATAAAGTTTGACGAGTCATGACATGTGTAAACAGCTCACAACCCTGACGTACTGTACACCACATTATAGATGATAAATACAAGTGACCATTGTTTTTTTTATTTATACCTAGAAATTTTGTAACAACACTTTCACTCAACGTTATGATGACTCAGGATATACTCAGAAATTTAATGCAGTTTATGATAAAGATCTACTGTGTCCATAGATGACCACTGTTTCATTATAATTCCAACTTGGATCAATGTCACCACGTTGTTTTGATGACTCATAGAGCTGTTAACATTGTGGAAATCATTGACACAGTTTTTTATTCTATGTCTATGATGAACACAATGTGGTCATTGTTATGTTAATTATAAGGTGAAAAATTCTTTCATTTATGCAGCCAGACTAAACACAGAAGTATGGTATATGCTTCCCATAAACAATGATTTACAGAAAGGATGAGTTGTTAAAACAATTAAAACATACGCATCAAGGAGATGATCAGCTAAAGAGATTTTATCATTATATATTTTTATTCGCTTCCCTTTCACTTATTTTTTCCCCAAAATCTTCAGTTGTAAATGTTGCTGAAATATTTCAAGAATGAAGAAAGATGAGATAATTAGGAAGAACGAATTTCATGTCCTAGTTCTACAATGTTACAGATGGTTCAGATATACTGATCATTTCTGTTAAAGTTATTGTCCATCCCCATTGATCTTGTTCAATTTGCAAACATGCAGTTTTGTTCTCAGTGCCTCAATTGACACTTTAACAATATAAATCAAGACATCCATCAGAACATTTACGATGGAACTGATGTTCCAACACAAACAACATGATGGCAATTCTGGTGTTGTGACAAAACTCATCTGCTGCAGACAAATATCTTTATGACTTTGGATGAGATGTCCAAACAATATAAGGTTCCATCTAGGGCTAATGAGAACAAACTCTCTGACCATTTCTTTAAGACGATTTTAAAAAAGATTAAAATGCTCTCAGGGTAATAGTCAAAGAGGAGTAAAAAACAGCAACCAATGGAATTTTAAACATAACTGAGAAATAAAATATTTATAGTTAAGCTATAAGAACCAACAATTAATGAGCCAATCAAATTTTACTTTGAATAGTAATATGAAATTTTATCACAAACATAATTTGGAGAAAATGAGATGGCAACAAAAGCCAATAACAGAAATAATTAGAATTTGAAATTTTATTTGCCGTGTTTTACTAAAAATAAACTTGCAAAATGCACTTTTAGGAACAAAATGACTTATTCAGAATATGAGATTTGAAGCCAAAATGGTTCTTAGTTGTGTTAGTTTTTGAGAAATACTGACATTGATATTTCTTCTTTTCTACTAGGATCCAGTTTCCAGATGTAATAAAAAACTACAAACACAACTTACATGTGCCCATGGCTAGCAGCCATTGTAAAGGCATCATTATAGCTCCCTTGCGTTGAGTCCTTGAAAGAAAGTTCTGATTTCTGGTAAGTTGGGAGAAATGGGTCAGCACCATGAATCAGCATTAAATTCACCAGCTCATAATGGCCTAAAAGCAGAAATGAGGATCAAATTGAAGTATTATCTTTTAACGGGTTAAGAGTAAAGTTAGGCTAATCCAATATATACATGGCAGATTAAAGATAAATAAGCATAAAATAATTTAACGCATAAATTGTGTGGACAAATTTCGCTAGCATCACAGGTAAAATTAGATAAACGAAAAAGTCATACTAAAAAAGATAAAGCTCTGGCAATTTTGCAAACAAAATTTTCCAACTGATCACTGAACATAGAAGAAGTAGAGCATGACACATGCAATATCAGCAATGAAAATGTACAAATACCAAAAAATTTCCCTATCATCACTGCAATGAAAATGGTCACAAAACTTGGTACCAAGTGGGGACAGAGACGACATTTAGTGTCATCGTTTTGTGTTACAAACCTGAACTGACTGGGTAAAGAAAGGTGTACAAGGTCTGCCTGTCCTGACACATGGCTGCATGATATCACATTTTTATGTAGTTGTAATGTTGTACTATTTTCTTATATAACAAAAAGCAGACTAAGTGCATTTAGAGCTATTTGCTTTGTTTGAAAAGAACTATGATAATGGTTACTAGGTTTGTTTTAATTGGACTTTCATCTAACTTGTTACAAAATTGACAAGTGCACTACTTTTTCATAATAAAAACCTTTGCCTTTAAAAAAACTCTTAATCACTTCTTCGCTTACCACCTACCCCACCATTATTATCTAATTTATTTAATTTAGTAAAAAAAAAGTATTAAACACATTAACTCCTCACACTGTCCATTGTTTCAAAATTGTCCAGCTGGCCATGAAAGAACCTTAAGTCATCCGTATCAAGGAATGTCCATCATGGAAAATTTTATCAGGAGAGGTCATCAGTTTTTCAGACATGATAATCTATTACCACAAACTATTGGGCTCACTCTATTTTCTAGAAGAAATTTTTCATTTGAGCTCTTTTTGGGGTTACAAAGCTTTTTAATTAAATCAAAGATGAGAAATCAATGTTAATAAAGTTAAAGGAATAGAGTTTCTTTTCCATTCAAAACTATCATCCCTAAGTTTCAAGACACTAACGAGGTCAACGTAATCCATAACTGGAGAGTAGTGTTGGCCATTAACTTGTAGAACATGTATTTGACCAACAAGTGCCCTCAAGTGACCAGAGAGTGACCAGCAGTGGTTCACACGTGTACAAAGGGCTGGAAACATTTTGTAGTACAATCAAAATTAAGCAATTGATCATGTGTTCACGTGTCCTGTAACAGGTTTTTAAACAATCACTATTTGTCAATGTTGACTTTAATATATTGCTTTAGATGCCTTAAGGTCACAGAACAGACTAACTCTCCTGTCTACTTCACCCGAAAAGAACACAAAACTGCATTTCATAAACCAGTGGAAGAGGAGGCTTTATAAAAACTTCAATTTAAAAAGTGCCGTATTCCGTTCTTTTACCTGTTCATCCAATCTTTATAGCTAGTATCCATTACTCTCCAACTCATTTTTAACTATTGAAAACTGACAATTATTTCCCTTCAGAAAAATTTGCGGATATAACAGATTAAGCACTCAATTTGGACCCCTTCATTACGGCTTGGCATGATAGCTTACCCATTCCACGCTCTTTCCTATGAAGCATAATGCTGCAAAGCCACTCTTGCAATAAATGAAACCAATCAATTTGAAACATATATCTTTCTACTGTTATGGACTGAGCTCAAATGTTCTGCCCATCTATTGTACTTGGAAGGATATAAACCACCATGCAGTTTTAACATCATTTATTTTGAAGTATGATATATCTTTTGAAAGCACTTTCAATACCCTTTAATCTGTATGCTTTTTTAAAGTGATGAATGTTTAAAAATTACCATTGCTGAAACTAATCACACATGATATTCTATTTCTTAAACAGCTCCAACTGATTTCCTCATTTTTCATGTTTGTGATGTGTGTAGGTAACCCTCCTCACATGGTGACACTGGTTTATTTCCACTGTATCTGTTCCTTACTTCAGGCACTATCAAACTCTGTACTAAATCCCAACACTTAAAGTATTATGCAAACAGACAAACTTTTATCCCCATGACTTTTAATTTGAGCTTTTGACCACCGATTACAGAGTACCTCAGTTCTGTACACATTTATGCATTTTAAGGAATAAAGAGAGCAAAATTTACCTGCAGCTGCAGCAAGCTGTAGAGGAGTTTCAACAAAGTTATCCTCTTCTGTTGTTACTTTACCCTCCACATCAGCACCTCTGTCCAGCAGAAGCTAAAATTATTAAAAGGAAAACAACAAATACAAAAAAGCACTTGAAGTGTTGCTGACCCATTAGTTTTTTTCCACTTTTGAATTGTTCATGATATATTAGATAAGCTGCATTACCTTTGAAGCAACTTTTTCATATTTCATTTTTGAAAATTTATGTAGGTGGTTTTATATAAAACTGCAAAAAAAAAAAGCAAGTTTTTGAATGATGAATTCATTCAGCAATTTTCAGTACATGTCCAAACAACAACTTTACCTGTACTACAGCAAAGTGTCCATGAACCACAGCAAAATGTAATGCAGTCCACTGGCGGACCTCCGGATGAACACAAGGGTACCTCTGAACATCATTTGGGACCTAGCGAACATAAAGATGAACCACCTTTATCAATATTGACCCCAAACAAATATAAATCACCAGGTGCAGCAAAAAAATGTATTTTTTAAAATCTATTTACAGAGAGGGCAATTTTGGATTAAATTTGGATTAATTAAGGATGTTTTGCAAAATAACAAGTTCCAGCATATTTCAACAGTAACAATGCAATCAAGTTGCATCTCAATGAAGAGTTATTGGACATTCATCTTAACTAACCAAGGACAAATTTAACAGGAATTACAAGATAAAGTAAAAAGCACAAAGTTAATGCCGACATATTGCATGAAGTTTCACTTGGCATAATTTTGCCATTTAAGCAAAATGCTGTTTCATGCTCTGGTGCAGCAACATTTAATTGCCATCCATTTTCTCATTAAATACAATTTGACCCTTTTACAATAGCATTTTACAAGATAAGTAAGGCAAGTAGCTGTATTAATATTCATCCATACACAGAGAGCATCATACCTCCAATTTTCCACAAAGAACTAATATGATCTCGCTTTACACTAATGATCAATTTCTAGATCCTTCAAAGTACAAGTAGTAATAATTTTTGCTGCTGTGTCATTAGAAAACTCCCCTCAAGGAATAATAAGCAATACATCATGCAACATTTACCTCCACTAACAAGTCTGATTAGATGAAAATCAATATATCATTTCTTGTGTAGTTTTCTGAATGATCTCACTCCTTTTCCTCATTTTGTCAAAATCTTCCACTCAAACATGCATGATACATTCTCTTAGGAAATGATACTCATTTAGCCAGATAAATGATAAATCCATATAAGCAGCTTTAAGATTTTACATTAACTGCTTACTACATCATATGCGTGTTCAAAGCCATTACATCTGGTGTAACAAAGATGACATGAAAATCACATTTTTCAATAAATGAACTAAAAATATCAAAGCTGCCTTATTTCTAACAAACATAATGCTACTTACAAAAATATATTTACCAATAATGTTATTAAAATAGACTATTGTGATGTTTTTATCTCTTGTCTTTTACAGAATGAAAAAGTGTTCACTGTGGCAAGCTGTTTACACTTATTCATTCTAACTACTCCTAAACAAGAAATGACATCAAGAGGGAGGTAAGAAAAATTTTCTTCAGTGCAATTTCCAGACATTGATAGTGCCCTTGTGGTTGTAATGTGAACTGGCATTGTTGGGTTATCAAAACAGCATGTTCCTCATTTACAGCACTTACAGTAACATCCAATGCTGCACCAGCGTCGAGCAATATGTGTACCATAGCTTCATCTCCTCGCATGCACGCATACATCAATGGTGTCAGCCCCTGCATGAAATACATACTTAATGTATCATTCTGAACTTTATTTTCATTTTATATCTTGTAATCATAGGTCCAACAACTCCTTATAGTGAAAACTGAAAAAAATTGGATCTAAAAATCTTCAGACAGCAACAAAAATAAAATGGAGATGTCAGAAATTGAAAACAGCCAAAACATGTATCAGAAAAATATTTAGCCCCATATCTTGGACCAGGCTGATTCGGTTTGTTCCACAAATGTTCCAACATTTTATGGACAATTTTATCTGCATTCCTGAAATTTCATTGCATTAAACCTGAAAGGCCTAGAAGGCACTACACCCTGGTACATTTATGAATATATGTGCAGTAATAATTATCTGATTTAATGCCACGACAAAGGGATAATACTGTTTAAAAATTACAAGTTTCAGGGCTTGGATTCTTCAATATAAGGAAACATTCTGAGACAATCTAAGATTCTTTTTTTATTAATACTATTTTAAGGAAATATATAAATTATACTGCCAGGAAGTTATGACATAACATTTATTAACTAGTGATAGATATGGCCAGGTTAATTAGTACAAGGTGAGTCACTGTGGACCACTCAAGGCTCAGTGTAATGGCTCATAAAACAAAGTTGCATACCTGTTGACTGTATGAATTAACTTTATTTCCCCCTAATAGTGCCAGTGCCTGCGGTACCAAGTCTGAACGTCCACACGCAAGCATCCGGAATGCTGTGTCTTCCAAAAATCGCGTAGCACATGTCTGAGCATCCAGGTGTCGCGAGGTACAGAGAGATTCATCCGTTCTAAAAGATAAATTGATGCAGGTTATTTACCAGGTCACAAAATGTTTTATAACATGTACAGCTCTTAAATTCATGATGCATCATAACAAATCTTCCACTGGTTCCTCACAGATAAACATACCCAATACAAAGACAAATGCATATTTTTCACTTTGTAAAATGTTTTTAATCTCAGTAAAAAACATAATCTAATAAATTCAAAATAAGAAAGGTTAAAAAAAGCAGTTGAGCTTTGTTGAGGAATATTAATAGGGAAAAAATCAGCAATATGTATTTTACAAAAATTGGATCAAAGAGAACCTTTTAAAGACATGTTTTTAATTTTACATTTTCTATTTATTACTTAAACAAACAAGAAAAAACTACTACAACAATTTGTTCTTCTAAATTCAATGTCTCACCACACAGAAGATTTTTACCAATCATTCATTCAGGACAGTGTATATATAATCAAGGGTTTCATCAATTATATAGCCATAACTATCTCCCACATATAAAACTATAGATACACAGTTACAATCGCATTTAACTAATCTGATAATTTTGGGGTTCAGATTTAAAAAAGCTAGGTTACAATATCATATTAATAAACTTATCTCAGATGGGTTCAATCTAAGTGAGTTTAAAACTCTTCACAGCTAATTAACATCAATGATTCTGCAGACACATATTTTATTTAGTGGGTTTAAGTGTGGGATCTGGTGACTGGCGGTGATGTGCACCGACCAGAATGTTTTACTTTGAAATTGGTGGTAAGTGATAGTAATATACCTACACTGACCACATTTAAACAGCCTTGCTGTATTATTTGTGGTAATTTTTTTTATTTGGTCACTGGTCAGCCACAATTTGATAGAAACTATAGATAAACTTTGGTCACAGATTTGTTTTTATTTTCAATGATTATAACTCCATATGTTTACAATTTCTGATTAGAGAAATTTTGCCAAAATATAATTTCACCATAAAAAAGTGAGATAAATTAAATGTGCCATGCATGTCTGTATGCACATCTACTGAATTAATGAAGTTTTTGGGGAGAAATTTTTTAATATCCTTATAAGCGTGAAATCACTATGAATTTTTATTAGCAATGCAGCAGTGGCATCTATAACATATAACTTACCCAAATTGTCTTGGTGGACAGTCCACATCAGGTAGAAGTAACCTTCCAGCTTGCCTAACATCATCAGCATCCACAACATAGCTGAGTCTGTATTCAGCATGGGCAGTGGCAACTCGTATCCATTCTAACAGTGGTGGCTGGTGGTAGTAGGGTCTAGAAATGGAAATATTAAATAAAATGTTGCTAATAAATTATGCCATGTCTGCTTTTACCTTGATAAAGAAAATTCCAAGTTTACGGGCTCCTAACACAATTGCATTAGAAGCATTTCTTATTTTTTTCATCATGACCCAGCTTATTATATCTGAAGTATTTATGTAAAAAAAAAAACATATTAAACACTTCAAAATGTCCTTTTATTATTGTTATAATGCCCAAACCAAGCTGGGAGCAACTTCCTCTCATTCATCAATTTCTTTATCCATTTATTTTACACGTCTAGTTCACATGAACTTTAAAGCACGTTCTTATACAACAATTTTTCTGCAGAGAAAGGGTCTTTTATCTGACCATTGATAAATCCTAAATAAACAAATTTAATGGTAAATTTAGAAGACCATTCTGAGTGATAACATCAACATGCATTTTCCCCTGAAGATACCCAATGCACTCCCATTATTTAACAAAATACATAAAATAGGAAAGCCTAATGATCAATATCCATTTGTAATATTAATTTCTACTGAACTGTAAATGACGGACTATTGACATCTATAGACGTTATGTAATACTGCATCGTGCACTGAGAAAAGACAGTGGCTATTCTTAAGTAGAATGCTATTTGCTATCTCTTAATTAAAGTTCTGCATGATAAATTACTTTGGGCAACATCTCTGGGGAGACTAAAGACGTCAACAAAAATGTTGTCATATGGTCACCAGCCAAATGTAATTGTTGGCTGCATGTCACCTTTCAAAGACTTCAGGCTAGGTGGGCCAGGTAATGAAGATTTGATGGTTTCCAAAATAGAAACAATTATGGTTCCTTTGCCAAATAGGGCTCAGGCTACATTTTAGTAGACAGACTGTCTGTCACAGTTAAAAAAATACATTTTTGGATCTAAGAATATGTGTGTTATTGGGCCAAGCAGGACAAGAAGGGATTAAAACTTTAATACTGCAACAGTTAAAGGCAACCAAGAAGGTTTTAAACAACCAAAAATGAGTCAGAGAAATAAAAATCAAGTTTTAAATGTACCAAAAAAATGTTGTAGATGTTGCCTTTCAATCCATTTAATTCAACCTTAAGCCTTGTAACCTTACTCTTAAAATATATGCTTTTACTGATGTTAATGCCAAATGATATTTGGAATTATTCTGTAACAGTTACACCAATCCTGCTACTTAAGGCCATCCAACACTCTCATGGCTGACTTCAGTTTACAGGTAATGTTTCTGCATACAGTTCAACTCAAAGGGACAAACCAACTGTGAAAATGTATGTCTCCTGCTGCTTATCATGGTTTTTGATCAACATCAACCTGCTGTAGTGTTCACTGCAGTGCACAGTGTAAGCACATGCAAGAAAACCATCATCATTATAAAGGAAATAAAACATACCCCTAGAAAGCAGAACAGCTTGTTAAATGCATTTCAGACACCTCATAACTAAAGTAACCTAATTTGTGTCATTTTTCAAGTGTCAATTATTTTCTACAAAAATAACTAAATAAATAAAATTTTAAAATACTGATAAAATGTCGGAAAAGTTTTAGTTTTCAATGTAAATATTTTGTATTGCCATAATATCAACCAAGTGACATCACAAAGGTGAGCCCTGAAAGATAACATATATAATAATAAGCTTTTAGCATGAAATAGTGGGCTGCCAAGGGGAAAGGAGGCACTTTTTTTTAAGTCAACACTTATAGAAAAAAAAACATCAAATAATGCGTTTGTGATTGAAAATGGAAAACTGTGCACTTTTTGAACCACTTTTTTTTTACTTTTTGGACAACTATCTGAGACAAAACTCAACCTGTGTTAGTCAAGGGTTTGGGGTTTTACATACCTTTCTGCACACAGATGAATAGATGGAGGTGTCAAATCAGGGTTATCAGCATGCTCAAGCTGACTACAGCGCATGTAGTAATAAAGAGTATGCAAGGCTGATGGCCCCCATGTCACCATGTGCTGAGGTTTACTATGGGCTGAAGACTTGTTGTACCAATAGTGCATGCTCTGACTAACAAGATCACCTACAGATGTAAAGAAAGAATAAATGCTAAGATACTCAAATATGAATCAAATATCAAAAGATGTACTGCATAATGATAAATAAATAAATAATAACAATTCATAAATACAAATATATTAAAACCAATCTGAAAATAGAATTTATTTCCATACTTCATAACTTCTCTACAGACCACAGAAGCAAGTAAGTTTTGACTAAATTGCATAATTATACTACTTGAACTGTCCTGAGAATTAGAAAAGATGGATAATTTTCATTCTAACTTATAATTTCATTTCATTAACTCCCCCAAATTATGAGCTTTTTGACCTGAAAATGCATTAGTACCCACAAAATCCAGATAAAGAGATGACATGTCACCATGATGAGCTATTTCTGTGTCAAACTTTGTAAATTACACGAAATCCTAGACTATAAAGTGCTATATGGAGACAGTAACTTGAGAGCACTATGGCTGAAACAGTTAAATCCATTTAAAATGGCAGAAATGTTATCCTTAGCTGCTAATGGAGGAAAGTAAATGCCATCCACAGGGAACTAAGAAATAATGAGTATTGTTCAGTGCCTTTCACAACATTCAGCATTTTTGAATTGTGAAAAGAACCCTTTTCATTAAAGTCTCATCACAAAAGACGGCATTTGTCCCCTAGTGGACCCCTCATATTTTAACCTCTCAAAAATTTCAGCAGGAATGACAGGACAAAAGAAAATGTTACATTAAGAGCTTATGAAAGTGCGTGTTTGTAGATGCACTTAAATTTGTCGAATAGAACTGACCAGTCACACTGGTGCATCTTTTTTCAGATATTTTGTTGACAAAACTGACTAAAATACAGGCAGATTAATTATGAAATTTAATCCCCCCCCCCAACTCTGCCCAGAAACATTAAATGTTTAATGTAACTGAAATATCCATCTTAACTTTATAATTAATCTTTAAATATTCCTTTTGCATATAGCATTTATCAAATAAACATGGAAAGTACAAAATAATCAAAATGAAGTGGCAGGTGTGAAGAAATGCACCCTTCCCAGGGGATAATCTGTCAACAATTTCTCTGATAATGCAAATTAAACAGCTCAAAAGATATTCTTAAAATTGCTCATTCAACCACTTCAATGTTTTGGAGCGGTGTCAAGGCGCAGTTCTTTTAAGGCCAGTTTCATGTCAAGTACTTTTTACTTCTTTCACAATAAAGACACCACATCAAATACTTGGTTTATGACTCACCTGAAACAAAACTGTCAAAAACCCACCGCAAATTTATCTCTTAAAACCCACCTAACTCTGTCAGCGTCCCTACACAGGTTGCTAGCAAGCTCTGTTCTAATGTTTTTGCCATGACGCTATCTGCACGCATCTGTCCCCGTGTGCGCCTTCCAGTCGAGTCACCACTACTGCCGGATAACAGACTGGCCATGCTCAGCGTGCTTGGAAGAGAAATCATTCCTAGAAATATAAATTAAAAACAATTAAGACAATGAAGACTTTTTGGCATTGCTTATTATTTTCTCTTTCAAGCTTAGGTTTTTACTGCCTTTGCAGCACAGGTCAAATAACTATGAAAAGATTTTAGTTGATGTTCCAAACTAGTTGATTTTTCCCTTTTTCATTTTGACCTCAAATCCCCAAATTCAGTTTTTTATCTGTTGCTGAATGTTTGGATAAGTATTTATTAGAGCACAGGAAGGTTTATGGATTTGCACCCGAATTCTGCCCCCGAATTCTGCCCCCCGTGTGCATTCCATTTATCATTTTTTTCTTTTTTTTGCCAGTCAGTGTATTATCTCTTAACTTTAATTTCGAACTAATCAAAAATGTGAATGCAAGATGGATAGCGTACAGCAAAGGTGCTTGGGTAAAATTTTTATGTTTTTTGTTCATTGCTGTCTACAAATAATATATATAGTAACAGACCACAAGCACATTTCTCCTTTTTAATTAATAGTGGCTGCTATCATAAAATGTGCCACATAAAAGTATTCAGCACCATTTTACACAATGAGCAAACAGAAATTCAGATATAGTATAACAAAAGGTGGTGTCTAGCATCCCTGCTGCGTGTTTGCAATTAAATGTTTCTGCACCCAAACAAACTGGCATGCAGTGACCGACAAGATGTAGTCCAGTAATACCCTTAAAACTTTGCTTTAGCCAAACTGTGACCAGGTGCTACCAGTAATTAGATGTGCTTATGTATTCACAGAGTCAATAACTGTGCCTCAAGAGCTTTTCCATGGAGACCTAGTTCCATAAAATTCAGGTATATGTATTTAAAATGTGTTAATAGCTGCAACACATAAAGTGGCAGGAAAACAGTTAAACTAAGAGTAAGCCTTAGGCTCAGTCACACAAGAACATTCATCCATAAAAAAGTAGTGCTCTCTTTAAAATGTATGGTTGCACTGAAATGGTTTTCAATTATGTCTTGAAAGAGATAAAATAAACAGCTGTAAGATCATTTTTGCATAGTACATACACATTTCATAACAGTTTGTTTTATCTTTACAAAATCTCCCTATCACAAAATGAATGTCTATCAAATAGTTGCTGAACCACTGAATGGATCACACATGTAATGCGTCTGACGTTTCAGTGTATAGAGAAAAAGGAATTTTTCAACCAATAAAAGAATATTCCAACCAATGCACCACACAACTTGAAACTGGCTTTTAATAATAAGCAAATCTGCAGCTTTATCTTCAAAGCCTTTCAATCAGCCTGGGTACAGTAGTTAACACTTTGATGTTTCAATCAGTCTTTCAACAACATTATCAAATCACTGGGACCTCCTACAAAGTAGAATCAAAAGATTTTACACCTTTCCCCTTCAGCAACCACTCTGCTTTATTCTCATTTAAAAAGGGTGTATGACCTTAGACACCCATAAAATGTGGCATGAAATAGGAAGATGCCTTTTTGTCACTTTTGTATGGTGCTTGTCAGAAGCTGAACCAGAGTGATACTGTAATAAATGTTTTCACTTTTGAACCAGGTGTCTGATAACCACTCGTTAGATGAAGAATTTTTTTTCTCTATTAGAATTTTTCTTTGCAGCACGTTTTACATGCCAAATTGTAATTATATTAAATGGATAAGAAGGGTGAGATGCTTCTTGCGCATAAAATTTCTTGAGGCACTTAGGTTATCAAATTGTAGTTTGGGCATCATACCAAATCCTTTCTATTCACTAGTTTCCTGCCACTGCATACATGGGTCACCAATAACTTGTTAGTTGATGTATAAAACTTAACTTGATGTCAATATGAAAAAAAAAAGAACAAATTCTGTTACCTTTGTATTTTCCATCTAATAATTAATTTTTTGATGAAATAAGAACTTCACGGCCACAATTTTTTTCAATTAGAAACAAAAGTAAAACAGACCTGTAGAATCACAAAAAAAAAAAAAAGAAGAAGCAGACGTCATAGCTGTCATTTCCCTCACAGGGTCATATATTTATTTCACATACTGACAAGGTAAAGAACATCTAAGATGTAGCTCAGTGGGTGGAGGAAAGACATCACATGCAGACTCATTCATTCATTTACCAACAAGGTCTGAACTACCCAAGTGACACTTATTAGTCTGGCATACAAGAACTAATGCAGGATGTTCAATGTCACTGGAAATTTCCTGTCCTCCTTGGTGAAGTTAGCTACATTTGCAAAGTGCACAAATATGTGCTGCTAATGTCCCTGAAATTTTAGACAGAGTGCAATATTATCTTCTTTTGCCTTCATTTTTCAGATATTATACAAATAATATTCACTGCATCAGTAAATGATACTGAGTGAACATTTGAGAGAAATTTAGAAATTGTAGCTGAAAAAACTACAGAGTATGAAGACTTAACACACAACTTAAAGAGAGCAGAAAAAAAATAGCAAATTCCTTCCAACTGGTTAGAAAAGTCAACCAACCAACCAAAAAATCCTCTTTGTAAACAAGCTCAAATCAAGCCATCAAATATCTTCTGGTTAACCAAAGGCAAAAGACTGTGTGAAAGAAAAGCTCCATTATAAGATACATTTCAATTCCTATGTTCAGTGACCAATTGTGGCAAATTAGCCATCGGCCAGACAGAAAAGTAATATGATTTCTCACATGTGGGGGGGATCTCAGCAGTATATGACAACAAGCTGTGGGCTAATATCTCGATCCATCATACCTCAAATGTCTTCATCAAATCTCACAGATGTTGAGATAACTAACATGTCTGAATGGCCATGTTTTGTAATATAGAACATGTTTTAAAAAATTTAACCTGCATAAAAACTGCAAAAGGTGAAGAATGCAGAATATATTCTGATTGATCTAGCATAAACTACAGTGTTCTAACAATCTGCAGTAGAGTCTATCCTGTCTGAAGGTATATCAAGTACACTTAGATACCACATTAATGTCCATATTGCATTCCAAAATGGAATGCAATCAAACCCTATTAAGCTGATGTTATCAAGTAAATAGCTGCATCCTGGGAGAATACAATCAACCCGTACCAACTGATAGAATGCATTGTCTCACTGTAGTCCGAGACACCTTTATCAAGATGAACTGCATACCTCTAAAACAGCAGAAAAGAAATCACAGAGCTTGTGTCTGAATGTCAAACTTCTCAAATGGCTAAGAGTATCCATTTTGGAAAATTTAACTATCCAAATATCTGATTAGAAAATGAGTGATACATGTATATATGAGCAGATAAGTGTTTGAATCAGAAGATTTTCAAGTAAGTTACAAAAAAAAAAAAAAAAAAAAAAAAAAAAAAAAAAAAGAAAAAAGAAAAAAAAAACATTATGCAAGAAAAAGCATTTGTACAAATATTTAAATCTGTCTTTGAAGTTCTGGTGATCTTTTCATCACTTACTTGGCACAGCATTTAATATTCATAGATTTTTACCTTAAAACAGTTAATGGTTATTATATTTGTTGCAAAGTAAATGGATGTGTTAATTTTTTCCATGGCATTAAGTCCCATTTACTGAACAGGTTTCTGAAACCAACAGACTCAATATCAATGTTTTCTTCTCCTTATAGAAGCAAACAACAAAGGGAAATTTCCTTCCAATACCTAAAGTGTTGCCATTGCTACAATTACAATATGCAATCTGACAGGCATAATCTTGGAAGAATATGATCTATAAACACCAGCAGCACAATCACCAGTTAATAACTATTGCTGAAGCTACGCCCAATTTCAAATATTATTCAATTAACATAGGATATGGTGGATGGACTAAAAGGCTAATTTTCAGCTTCATAGATTTTGACTAGCCTTGTCTATCAAACTGGATCTGATAACAGAAAGACTGCACATTTCCTCCTCTGGATTATGTCATCAGAGCTGGCCCTGAGTGGTCATCTGACAGCTGAATGTCCTTGGTCATGCAGCTGGCACCACAGCTGGCATACCCAAACTCACTGCCAACATACCATCTGTTAAAACTTCTTCCTTTGGCAAGCCTCTTTGGAAGGTCTTTAGTTCAAAATCACAATGTATCAAGCTCCAAGCAGGGTGTTTTATTTTAAATCTTTACTTAACTGTCTTAACTTTACTCAAAGTCCAACTTGAAGGTTGAGAATAAGTTAGAATTCACTGTCCCCACACTAAATTAAATTCCTTCTTTTTAGTCATCTTTCTCAAACCATGTTATGCACTCATTCTTTTCAAACTCAATTGAATATGAAAATAAAATAAGGAAAAAACTCTTAACCTGGCTGATTTGTCTACCTTAATGATAATGCATAATTATTTGTGTTTAAGAGGTGTGAAAAATATATTAACAATATGTATGTAATTTTTAAGGACACAAACATGAAAACTTGCAACTCATCTAGCAAGAATGTTCCAAAAGGTTTGATAACTTGCAAGATAAAATACCAATTAAATTGGATGTCATCACTTTTGGCTACAGAGTAGCATTTTCTTCAAGTATATACCCTTCCTTGATTGTAATAAAAACTTCCAACACAAATTCGTAATGATTTGCCGACATGGCCACAAATGGGTGGAGTTGTTAGACAGAAAATGATAACTGAAGGGAGGCTGTCTAAATTTACTCTGGTAGAAGATCACACCTCTGATACTCTTTGCATACATTGACTTAACTCAACCCTTGACAGTATTTTTTTCATCAAGGCACCACTGCAGAATTTAAAGCAACTGGATGTAAATCTAAATGAATGCAGAATATATTTGGTAGTAGCATTTTCACTTATCATACAGGAAGCACAGCATCTGATTATTTTTATCCCCTTGATATTCATTCTGTCAAAAAACTTAAGTGATCTGACAGAGCAATTTGCAATCAGTGATCAAAACAGCCAGCACACTTTGCACAGGAAGTGGCAAATCTGATAATTTTTCAGTTTATTTGCCTTTTTTCACATGGAAAAAACACTTTGAAGCCCAAATGCAATCACCAACAATCTAAATGAAGGCAGATCAGGAACATGCTGCTTGAGATATCAATGAACCAATTTAAATGGCAGTCAACAATCTGATTGAGCAGACTGCTGGTGCTGGGTCTCAAGTAACACACACCTAATTTAAGTGCCACTGATTTTTTGAGACAGGGATACTCCTGCATTTTAAGACTAACAATATACTCACACTTCTATGAGCCAAATCAAACATATTTTGTTACAAAAGTTTTACATTTGAAACAAGACACAGTATATTTTTTTTTGTGGTTACACCATTTTGGCAGGTGACTCTGTACCAGACCAACCATAAAAATTTGCATCAAATGACCATTGCACCAATTTGCTACAGATTTTTATGTAATCAAAAAGACACTGAAAATATTCAGGTTTCTTGTCTGAAACAAGATATATTTGTATAGTTACACCCTTTACACAGGTGACAACCTAAGGGGAAAGTAATAGTACATAATATAACTCTTAAGCTTTATTTGACGCTGGTTACTAAATGCTATCAAACGTCCTTTTTAGCATTAGCACCACATTTGAAACAAGATATATTTCTGTAATTACACCATCAAGTCAGTCTGGTGTGTCTGAACTGGTGCAACAAAAACAAAATATGTTCTGAAAAACTCTCACACTAAATAATCATTCTTACATAAAATCAAGCACCAACAATTCAAACATGTTGCACTGAATTTCATTAACTTAAAGTGTATGTATCTCCTACCTGTTGAGTTTCTTCCACAGATAAGATGCTCCCAGGGTTGAACCAAACCCCAAAGCTCAGGGACATTGGATATTCCATAATCTAGTGCACTAGCCCCAAGGATCAAACCACCTGCAATTATAGAGCAAAATCTTGGGTCACCTGCAAAAAACCTCTCCAACATTTTTAAATGCTACTGTATTTATCTTGGTATACATTTGGTGCTTTTTATACATTAACTGCAGTTTTCAGAGATGAACCAACTAATTTTTTTTCCAATTCTGCTATTTTTAAAGCTAATCACATTTTGTAAACATAAAAATTGTTTCTCTGTACACCACTCTTTATATATTTTGATTTAGGTAACTTAAAATTTCCCTCTCAATGAAAAATAAAATAAAATCCTCACTGACCAACACCTTGGTAGCTATACCATTATGAGAAAGTTTGGGAATATGTGTCTGTCAGAAATAAGTGACATTATCATGATCAAACTGGGCAATGTCCCAGGTGTTAAAATTATGCATTAGGCTGATGATGCACTGATTTTAGCATAAATCTCCCTGGGGGTTAAGCTTCTCATGGAGATCATGAGGAATTTTCATTTTTCATAGTGCACCCTTCCTTCTGTGTTTATGGTGGTTTGTGGAACCTCCTGAACTGACAAAATCAGCTTGTTAACCTAAATCAAATGCTTGAGATAAGGTAGTATTTGTTATCTTTTGATTTAGTCATAATTATGAGAATTATAGTGTTTGGGGCATCCTAGCTTGAAATCACACACTATAATTCAATCAAATTAAAGATGTGAAAATACTGACAGTGTGTAGGAAAGCCTAAGGAAAACAAATCAAATGATGGTGTTTAGGACCTCCCTGTTTGAGAAAATCTTAATTTCAAAAATCAAATGATAATGGTGTTGAACCTACTACCCTCAGGAAGCAAGAATCTTTTAATCTAACAGGTAAGAGGAGTCTAGGAAATGGGATCCCCTCATTAAGATCTGATCACGAGTGCACAAAACACCTGTGTTTATAACTTCCCCTTCCTTCCTTCCTGATATTCCTGTCTATCAGGTGAAGAGAGACAGACAGTAATACAAACTTATGATTAAGTCTAGGGATTTGCAAAGAAAAAACATCATTACAATGCCAGAAACCCAACACAATACTGCTTACATAAAAGATGAATAGATGATTCTAGTAAATGCCTTATTTAAGAAAAAAACAAAATAAGAAAACTGAGATCCTGATTAAGATCTCTGTTATAATATAGAAATAACTGTCATTTCATGTGTGAATAGACAGGAAGTGGAAAAGAATGATCACAGGCCTTTGCACTGTAAAAAGCTTCTTATTTAAGAAAGAAGTTTTTAAAAAAATGAAGATAACCTATTCAGACTACTGCATTCCTCAGTGTTAAGCCATGCATGAAGAGTATCTTGTCCAAAATTTGGGTGCCACAAGATGATATTAATAATAAGATAGCTGAGTGTTCTCTGTGTCATATTACATGAAACCCCATGCATGCCCACACATTTTGTCACTCCATTATGATAAGACTAAAGACATCCCACTTCCATACTGCACACCCAGGCTTAAATTTACTGCTCTGAGCATTGGGTTATACAAAAAGCATGCCCCTTTTCTTATTATGCCTATCTCTAAATCTCATTTAGATAACATTACAACTAAGTGCCTGTTTCACTGGCCACAATGCCCAGGGTAATCATTTAATGACCAGGTAGGTAAGGTGTCTTTTTGACAAATTACTTGGCAAGTAGGTGGTAAATTATAGAGGGCAGATAAAAAGTGGCAACAAGCACCACCATAAAATAATTTGTGTCCTTAAATGTACACAGCATCATGGAATGGCAAAAGGGTATTGTAGCCTGAAGCTCAGGTGACTAAAATGACTGTTATTTAGGCTTTCCTTTTTTGCCTTTTCAAACACAGGGCTTTTAAAGATGTGACCCCACAAACATTGATGTCAGGAATCAAAGTTAGATGTAGCGATATACCACTTCAGCAAACAAAAATACTAAGTTCGTTCAGACACACAGGAAATTTGCGCCCTTTCCCTAAAGCAACTTCCTTTTGTTCCAATGAGAAACCTTTTGTGCAAGTTATAATAATGGCTATACAAATGCCTTTTTCTTGTAAAAACATACTTTAACAGTTAAAGATCTCTTTATCATTTTGAAAGAAACATCTATAGAGAAAACTAGGCCCCCTTACCTAATTGATCTCTCCCGACAGCCAATAACAGTATTTCTTCCAGCAAATTTTCTAAGCATGCAGCAAGATAGACTGCTGCCATTTCCTGCACTCTGAGAGCAATTTGTGAATCTATCATCCATCGATGAAAACGTCCAATTGAAAAGTGAAGTCCACATTGGGCACTTTTACTTTGTTTAAAATTGTTGGTGCTCATTGCATACAAAGTCCCAGCTTTATAACAAGCATTGATACAACTGTCTCCTAGAGATTTTGATAGAAGAATTTTGATTGCTGCTATTATTTCATGTTTGGTGCATTTGCACAATGCTTGGCAAAGTCTTTGGGTTTCATTAGCAAGTCGTACTAAAGGTCTCTGCAAGAGATATGATAGTCTTTGTAACAATTCCAAGGAAATATTTCCACTCAGTTCTTTTGTTCGCCCCTGCTGTAAGACAATCAACACATCCCTGTCTGTCCACGGTACATGTTCCAGTTCTGCCAAACGATGAAATCTTTCTGGATAAATGGCCTCATCAGAAATGCGGGTGTCCATAGTTTCATAACCACTTGGTGCATCGCGAAACACTTCACTGTTTTCTGGATCAGCATAATCCTGACTGAGAGTCCTCAATGTTAAACCAAGTCCGCTACTTTTATCACTATCCCTGTGGCTTGATCTAGAACTCTGGCTTGGTGAATGTGAACTAGAAAAACTGTAACTATGTGGACTGTCCGTAGGGCTATCATTTGTCCCAGCTAGAGATAAACTTTCCAAAGGAGAGGTGAGATCGGCTACCTCTGCAGCCATGGTAGTGACTGAACAGACCGAGTCCTCTATGCTGATGTCTTCTGCTGAACTTTACTTGTCACTCTGAAAGAGAAACAAAAAGTCAATTAATATCCATGGTCTGTTAATCATGATATCTATCTGAGAACTAATTGCTAAACATATCTATTAGATAACCATCATATGTACAAGTGAAATTGAGGTGGACTTTTCACCTCTGTCATGACCCCTCAGTGAAACTCCCTCCACTCGACTATCTTGTCCCGCATATTTTTCAGACATAAGCAGACATGAGATGTTTTTTGTTGATAATGTCTAAAGGATAAGAGTGGTGAAATCTTCACTGCTGTTTGTTTGCTTTCTTAGTGACCATTGAATACCTCGCCCAATGTTACTTTACAGTGCAGCAGTGGGAGATCGCCACTCTCTCACCTTCTCCAACAAAAGCCGGCTGTCAGGGATTTTTGGTTTTCACCTGACAGCTCATAGGACCGGTCGCGTCTGTACCTGGTGTGCTATGTTCCACTGCTGCGCTACTAATCTATTCAGATCACATTTCATCCATCAGACAACTCTGTCATTAAGTGGCTATCAGCCAGGCACATGCAACTTCCTACAACATCCCTGATACACCACTAATTCTCAGTTCCAATTCAGTCAGACGCGCATTGAGAAACATAAAAAGCCTGCTAATGGGCAGATAAATGGTAAAATGGCAAAACATCCAATTTCTTCCCCTCTTAATATAACACTTAATTGCACCTTACCTGTCTCCACAAAGAAACAAGTGTCACGCTGATTCTAGCAAATTGTTGGGTGAGTATTCACAGCAGCATACATAGACAAAGTCACTAAATGCATAGCAATAGTCTGACTTTTGATTCTCATCCAAAAAGTAGTTAAACATTTTAACAAGCAGCAGGAACATGTGTTTGAAGTGCCTTCAGGTTACTGATCAAATAGCCATCTTTTCAACCAAGGTCTTTTCGGTCTCTACTCAGGAGCCAACTTTCCACCTTTAGGCAAATAAACGCCTTTGTCCTTTTTTACACCAACAATCATGGGGTTGAAGTGGGGTCATGGGTGCTATAGACACTTTGTGTTTTAACTTACCACTTAGACTAGGGTATTTTAAACATCAACTCATCCTTATTGCAACTCTCTTGAACTGTTTAAATAAAACCTTACCTGAGATCCATCTACAGATAGATTTCTTACCTGCATTAAAACGGCAATGGATTTAATCTTCAGAAATAAAGAAACAGGCAAAAAACATATTCATCACATAAAAATTTTCCCACATACTTCTAGATGTTCTGACGAGCTAAATTCCTTGTATTGTAGTGCTACATTTCTTCCATTCATAACTGATTATCAGCTGGATTTTATCAAAAGGGTCCTTTCACAGGCAAGTGCACAGCTCTATCTCTAAGCTGTTACCACTATTGTGCAATGTCTCTCTTGTCACCATTCTCCATCTCTACCTTGTCACAGTAAGACCTCTCAGTGATGCTCTACAGAGCTTTCTTCCAGCACAAATATGTATATGACAGTAGAAGATGAATATCTTGACACATAGTCCACTAAATATCAGACTCTGATGAAAAATAAAAGTTCTTATCACCTGATAGTTGACAAGATCAAAGTAGACCTCCCCTGGTTTAAAATCCTAGTTACCTGCAAATTATCATAGTATCGAAAGCATCCTAATCCTGCGGTAAGTTTGTCTAGGCTATTGTAACAGTGTCGTAGATCAGCAGACAAAGCCTTGCTCTGACTGCAGGTTTACCTTTAGAAGGGGTGGTAATTAATTTTCTTTGCCTGCTGTGACTAATCACAGGTTAGTTACATCATCAGCAAATAAAAGGCGAGCTAACTGCAATCAAAAGGACAGAAAGCAATCAGCCAGTGACTGATAGATCCTGGCCTTTAAATGGGCGTCTTTGTATGGATCCAACTTGGAGATGTCTTTGTATGGAAATCCAATCACTTGATTTTTACCACAATAATACTTACTTAGCCATGCTGAAATTTAGTGCATTCTTTCAGGATTACTGTCCCATTGTTAACTCTCTTTCAAATACTTAAAATGCGACAATTTGCTCTTCCTAACTTTTCTAGCAGAGATTAATTTTGTGATAAGATTGAACCTTTTCTTACCATATTTCAGCCTTGTAAGCTGAACACAATTCCTAGATCAAAACAAACACCTACCTGTTAAGCACTGAAAGCAAGTTAACAGAAAGTCATTCCGAAGCTGTGTGTGCACTTCCTCTGCACTTACCGATCTGAGGTCCACCAGAAGCTCAGCAAGGGATATACAGTACCAACCAACCAACCAAAATGAACATGTGAACATTCTGATTCTAATCTCCAGTGATAAATAATGGCTGCTCATGATGACTGATCATAAATGGAGATTTCTATAAATCACAATGGAACTAACTTTGAAGTTCACAATCTGAGAGCCTTCATTACCCCTGACATGCAATAAGTAATATCAAATGACTTGTTCCGCAAAACTGAAAGAAAACATTAATAGAACTGAATAGACATTGTATATATGTATATGCTGCACCAGTCTATATCAAAAATAGTTATGAAATCTATACTTGACCACTTCAACATGTGTATAACAAGCATGTGCACATACTCATGACTAGGATAGAATATTTTGGGTTCTAGCTCATGAGCACAGAACACGCCTTTAAGCTCCTATAGTTTGTATCAGTTCAAGGCATATATCAACAGTGGTGAAACTTTTCATACACCACCTGTCAAAAATGTCCTTTAGTGCATTTTATCCATTCTTTTTCTCTGTTGGATGAATAACTACAGAGCTATGTAAATGGATTTGATCTCTCCATTAAAATATCTCCTTAGACCACCAGTCATCACCTAGAGTACTTCAATCCCACCTCCAACTGAGACAATAAACATCTCAAAGCATACTTACAACTACTTTTGTCTGGGTATAATCATAGAGAATTTAGCATAATTCCAATGAATCATCTGTCAAAATCTAAGAAAGGGTTACTTTCAAAAAGTGAAATGTCTAAACACATGTACCCATTCAGTGGGTCAACATGTTTAAGCGTTCAATCAATAAGAAAATTATTATTGTTATGAACTCTACATCTTTATTAATAATGAAGTCTTTACAGACAAAATAGACTTGACTCTTAAAATATTCCTAACACAGTAGGTGATTGTGCTGGGCCCATTGTGTTAAAGTGGCCAAATTTTGATAAAAAACTCTACATACATGTCCATCTCAAGCACCACTGCTGCATGTAAAAGCTGCAATTAATTTCCATAAATATCTCCTGGTATAGTATCTCAGTGTTCCCTTTCCTATATATAGAGATAGAAGAATCCTGATGAAAAACATCATGTGAATAGCTTGTACTTCCTGAGATCCTTAACACAGTGGGAATGATGTGTCTAAGTGGACAAAACTTGACAAAATAAATTCCTCACCCCCTGTGCCTTATGCCCATCTAAAAGCATCACATAGTCAATTTCATCACCTCTTGATCTCTAAATATGCCACATAACACAGCAGGGATGACAAGTCCTATTGGCCAAATCTTGACAGAATATCAATCAAATAAAACAAATCTTCTACCATATGTCATCTTTTATAAAGTTTTAGGCCATGTAATTGTTCTGTTTCCTTAAAGCTTTGTTGACAGCTTGGAGTGATACAACAGACACTACAAGTCTTCAGTATGTACCTTTTCCATCTGTCAAATGCTTGAAAGCTGACATCTTGTCTCAGGGCTCTTCACCAGATTAAATTTGTTCCCCAGGGGAGTATACCATATTAACATAGGGCACCCCCTAACAACTATCATTACCAAAGTGTAATACATCATAACTTACCTTAAATTAAGATCATGGAAGAGTGGTGAAAATCAACAAAATATGAGAAAAGCATGTATCTTAGTTCTTTTTCACTAAAACATCTATATCTTGCCACCATAATAATTTTGCCACTTCTATTCCTGACAATTCACTGTAAGTAGATTAAGATCTTTTATTTTTTGAAATTTTAATTAACAGATGCATGATTATGGAAAGAAAAATACTTTATGGTCTAAAATATTCTACACAGCAAAAACAAATAACATAAATATAAATTTGCATGCATGGTTCACCTCAAACTTTTTGTGCCAAAGTTATAATGCCTTAAACAAGAGACCTGCCAAAATGAGATATTAACACTGGCAGTACTTTTGATGATCCTCAATCAAGTGTGACACCTCTCTGATACAGGATACTTGGCATGCCAACTTATCAGATCATACCCCTAGAACTTTTCACTATTGCACTTGAGGGTACTGAACAACTGAATAGGGGTTTAGAAAGTAGGTACAAACCTGCCTCATGCTCAGAACAGCAGTCCAGAAGAACAAAATACTGCAATACCTCGATACTCCTTTTTTTAGAATACTCCTCTTAAGAATTCATAAATGCAGTTCAAATAAAATACTTAAAAATGCAATCAGCTCATACAGTCATGTCTTAATGTGAGCCACTAACTACCCCTTGTAAATTTCACTGAAAATTTTGCCTTTGTAATACTGAATCATTGGGGAGTTAGTTATAGACCCTCAAATATAATGGAATGATATGTGTCAAAGGATGATAAAACATTCACGTTCACTGGCTGCTTCCGAGTGGGATTACTAGTACCCAAGAGCTAGTAATCTCTCCATTAAGAAAAGTAATATTTAAATACCACAGGTAACTCCCTGCTCTTAAGAGAGTGAGCCGTGGCTTAATGCCTTCTTCAGTAAACAGAAGCAGTCAGAGTGGTTCCTATTTAAACATGTTGAATTTGTATCCCAACAAAAGGTCTTACTTTTCTCAAAGTATTGTGGCAATATATCAATCTCCTTAAAGACAGTGGCATTTACCTTTTTTCTCTTTAAAAAGTTGCCACATACTTAAGAAAAAAAATCATTTAACAATCAGACTTAGTGTTAACAATAAGGCTTAATATATGAGGAGATGGATTTTTTTGTCCATTTTTTCTGCGGTGAATAAAAACTTCCTAATACATAATACAGATATGTCTTATTCAACCCTCATGTCTAGACACATTTGATAACTGTGGTTTTTGATAGTTCACTTACTGCACACTTGAAAAGAGACAGTCACAAGGTACCAAATGATTCAATTTTAATTATTGCTTTAAAACCATCTCTGTTCATAATATATTAAACTTAATTCTAGCTTGGATTGAATTTCACATACTGACACCAAAATGCTTGGATATAATTGTAAGAATTAAATACTTGCATCTAAAGCAAGCAGTTTTGCTAGAGAAACCAATGCTTTTTGTTTAGCATGGTCAACTTCAGTGACAAAACTGGTGACAGTTAATCAGATCAAGGGCATAACATGAACTATTTGGGTGGCTGAATTCCTAATTTAAGTCATGTCTCTTGAACTTCAAATAACTCCATTCAAAATTTTCATTTCATCTAAACCTGTCTTTTTTGCAAAGCTGGTTACAGCATTAATCTATAGTCTATGTCTGGGTTCCCAAACCTAGATCGTTCTAACAGGATTGATCCATCTCGGAGGGGTTTCCTACTAAATTGCTTTCAGCTTAAGTGGTTTAGATGTCTGGCACGCCTACTGAAGCTGCTAAATGATAATCAATTACCTCCTAGCAGCTTTAGATCGACGCACATTTAGTACAATAGGGTCTGGGAATGGTCCCTACACTTATCTAACCCAGTTTTGAAATCTCTTCTCATGCTGAAATACATTACATTCAAGTAGGAGGGCTGTATTATCAGCTCAGACCAAAAGAATAAAATAAATATATTATCAAGATGCTTTTGAAATGATCTGGGTCATTTCCTGTTATAAAAATATTTTATTCCATATGTGCTTCACATTCAAGTGAAACTCCAAAAAGTAGAATATTAGAGAGTATGGATCATTTTTTCCCACCTTAAGCTCAACCTTAAGCTGGAGTTAATCTTTATCCTGAAATCAACTTTTAGAATTTATCATACAAAATATATGAAATGTATCTCACATTTTATTCAACTTAAAGTAATTTACATGATAACCTATTGGTAAAACCATCAACCTCTACCTTAATTACCAGATGTATTCAGTTGGATTAACATTTATCATGACACAGGTGTCTTCCAACTTTTTATTGGAATCGAACATCAGATGACATACAAAAAAAAAGAACACTTGACATCTGAACACTTGTATCAAAATTATGCATGGAAAGTAAATAAATAAGGACACTTATTCAAAATGTGTGTGTGTGTGTGTGTGTGTGTGTGTGTGTGTGTACACTCACCTGTGCAATGGACAAGAACTCTTCTGAATGTGCTTCTTCTAAGCCCAAACACCTTTACAATTTATATTTGTTTTCATTCCAAGACAACTCTTACATATCTCCTCAAAGAAAACAAACAAACAAAAAGTAACAGCAGCTGATTCACGATTTTGTGCTGCTTTGTGATTAATGCTGGTCTTTGTTTCTTTATTATTATAAATAAACAATAATGAATTCACTTTGTGGTCAGGGAGAGGTTAGAGTTATTCATAGGGGCAATTTACACTGGAAATTTGGAACCTATCCAACAAAATCTCTCCAAAAAAGCTGTAATCCTTTCTTTATAATGTTAGAGACAAGAGTATAAAAATCTGTAAGTCAAATGAATAGCATTGTTTGATCTTTAATCAAATTCATCAATCAATTACTAGAGATCAAAAGGTTAAACCAAGTTCAAGCCGAATTAGAAAAAAACAGTGACAGGAGGGCATAAAAATCAAGTGCAAACTGCACTTTTTTTTCCAATGGTGGAGCCATCTCCTGCACACCCCTTCATTTCCCTACCTGCCTGCGACACTCCCCTTTCTCATCTGCTGACAGCCATTTCTAACCAAAAAATTTATAATATCGAGATACCTTCCAGCTTTTCTAATACCTAAACTCAGCTTGGCAGAGTCTATGTACAGTAGGCAATACAAAATGAGTCTATTTTTCAAGTTAAAGAAAACCCTTAAACTTTTCAACTGTGCATGTCCAGATTGCAATTACCCTTAAAGACAGAACTGCTTCAAAAAATAACCAGTCTGATCACGGACATGCAAAGTCCATTTTAGACCATCAGACTGAATCAGCTTCTACTTTCCATGGACTACTGATCAAAGCTGTTTGTTGTTTGGATAACAATATGAATTTATCATATCTCTTCATATCATATCTGCACACCTAACCCCATGTCACAGAATGTCTATTCGGTGACTGGGGTAGTATACTGTGACATAAAAATAATACCTCAAATCTTACACTCAATAAATGGAAGACGCCCGCACAACAACTTGTCAACATAGGGCGCACAAAGGAAAACATGAGGAAATTATATAGGAAAAGTATCATACAGAAAACTCTATTTTGAAAGAGATTAATGTTACACATTCATACCAACATGCAAATACAGAGGTACATGTGGTTTTGGAAATTGCTCTATATCATACCTGAATAAAAATACAGACAGATTTTTTTCACTTTTTTCCTTTAGACTCACGTTTACATAGTTGGATCACCTGACAAGATTATCTGTGATTTGAGATCAATATCTTTGCTGAATCTACTCCGATTCTCTGATAGCAAATGCAACTGAAACTTTTCAAACCAATAAACTGGAAATTATGAACATAGTGAAATCTTCTGAGACCAATGAGCCCTTTGACAAATAAACCTTTAAGATACTAGGTAAAGAATGATGCTTGGTCAGTATTAACAACATCATTCTTTCCTTGGAATCAATAAACATGTCTTTCTGAATTTAGATTCAATTTGCCCTGAATGCCACCATCAACAAATATCACAAAAAGAAAACTTCTCATAGGCACCTATCCACATTGATGCTTAAATAAGTTAAAGAAATGTAGTAATTTGTGGAGTGACTGTTTTATTGAATGGATGGCTTTTTTTCTGTTTATCTTTGGTGATGATACAAAAACAACTTCTATTTTCAGTATACTTTTATATATTTATATCTGATTCAATTCAAGATGTACAGTCCTCATATAAGCTACAGTGTACAGAATCCTAATGATCACAAAATATCAAATTGAAGCCAATATGTGCTAGTACTATTGAAACCTTTCACTAGCTGTCAAAGAGGGCAATCATAGTGAATAGAGTACCATAATTACATGGAATAATTGATAGCAAGCCACAGAATATCTGGCAGCATTTGTAGCTTTTACAACTCGTCACTGAAATAATTGGGATACATGCATATTTGCATGCATGGTCATTATTTTGTTACTACCCTGTATATCATAGTTTTCTTTTAAACATTTTTGCTGAATGTCTGATTTCACTTATCCCTAAAAATCAACAGAATACCCAGGCAACATATATTTTATGTCTTGGCTTTAAAAATCAAATTCTGTACCTGTTTTTCTAAATGTTTGCATAAAAGCCATGTATCAACTAATTTTTGTTTTTTGATAGTATCAAAAAGGCAAGTTTAATATTAGCACTACTAATGCCATTATTAGTATGTTCAGAATTAAACAGTCCCATTTCAGGTTGTAAAAACTTGACAATAAATATATTAATTAAGTTTTCCATGAATTTCTTTTGCTCTTTCAATGGCATAAAAATGGATCAATTATCATTAATTCTTCTAATTCCATCATTGGACAGGGCACACTTAACGTCACATGGCTCTGA